AAGAACTACAAACCAATCTCACTTCTCACAACGCCGTACAAAATCCTAGCAAAACCATTAGCCAACAGAATCATAAAACTAACAAACAACTGCTTTCACATCGACCAAGCAGGTTTTATCCCGGGTCGATACATCCTGGATAATGTGATGGGTATAAACAAGGCTGCAAAGACGATCACAAAAAAATGAATGCAAGCAACGATCCTATTCTTCGACTTTGAAAAGGCATACGATCAAGTCAACTGGGACTTCGTCCACAATTGCATGAAGAAGATGGGAGTCGGCCCAATTTTCAGAGAGTGGGTTAGAGTACCATACGGGGATGCCACGGGCAGGGTCCAGATAAACAGAATATTGTCTGATAGCTACCCGATATCGAGATCGGTCCGACAAGGCGGCCCCCTTGCACCCCCAATATTTATGTTCATAATGGAAGCCATAGCGTCTTTCCTGCGCGAGAACCCATCCATAGACCGCCTGGCCGACCAAAATCACAACCCCCTCCATGACTTTGCTCTCCCCACAACACAAATGTTCGCAAACTCACGATCCTCATCAGCATTAATAACTCTTCCTTCCAGGTCCTGGTGCGCGCCATGGAAGCCTTCAAACTCGCCTCAGAAATGAAGGTTAACTGGTTGAAAACAAAAGGGTGGTGGCTTGCAGAGGGCACCCCCCCCCAACCCCCAGACCCATCCACCCCAATGTCTTGGACTACGGGCGAACAAGCATTCCGATATCTAGGCATTATGGTAAACAAGGATGGCATCTGGCAAGGAATGGGGGAGACTCTACTCGCCAGAGCAATAACCCGACTAGCCACCTGCAACAAAGCCCAGGCCTCCCTGCTAGGGACAACCCTGATCATCAACACAACAGTATTCTCCACTTTGTGGTACATGGCCTCCATATGGTGCCCCCCCGACGACGACCTGAAGAAGCTGAAGGCTAGAGCCAGGTGCTATCTGTGGACTGGCGATCCCAGCAGAACCTCTTGCATAAACAAGGTAGCCTGGCAAGCTGTCATCAGGAAACCACAAGGAGGGCTAGATATAATCGATCCTAAACAAGAAGCGATCGCCCTCCAAATGAAATGGATAATCAAAATCCTAACCAAACAAGCCCTCCCATGGACCAAGATGGCGGTAGACAGCATAAGGAGTTTGGCACCAATAGCGACCCCACCGAACATGAGTGGCCTGTTCTGGATCATAGCAAAGGAATGCACAATCAAATATGGGAGACCAGAAAGGAAAACTAACCCAGCGACCCCCATTCAACCCCCCATTACACCCCTCCCCAACTGGTCACCGATCCTAAAGGTCTGGCGTCGTCTGATACCAGAAAAGAAAGAACCCCGAAGCAACAAAGAGGAAGTTCTACGACAGCTCCTGTTTTGCAACCCCTGGATCAAAAACGCAGAGGGCAGACCGTGGACCGTCCGGGCCAAAGACCGGAGATGGTTGTCTTGGGCGGAGAGAGGTGTATGGCAGGTCAAACATCTGTGGTCTGAGGACAGACAAGAATGGCTCACCGCACAAGACCTTCGCACTCCCTTAAAAGGTTGCCACCTACTGACCACCAACCTGACAGAAATCCTCCAAAGCATCCCCCCCCCATGGAGACCCTCCTAAAAGAGACACATACATGGAAACCAGGAGGCTAAGGACTACTCACCACACAGACCCCACCAACAAGAGCCTATCGATTTGCGTCAAAACCGGACTTGACTAACTACCAGGCCAATTTCGTATCCTACCCCATCAACAAACACAACATACATGAACTAGAGGTCCTAAACAAAACACCACAGCACGAACAAATAGAAACCTACCTCCTCAAGAAGGTTAGAGTCTCCCACAAGAAACCCTAGTTTATATTCTGGCCGGAACTCAGCATCAAAGAGCTAGAATTCGACCCAAAGGAATGGATATGGGATCTGGGCGTGGCCGGTAAATCAAGGGCGATAACAGAATACGACGTTAAGCTCGGATATATCCTCGGGTTACAAACCAGAGACCTGAATCCAAGGCTGGCAGAAAAATGGAGAACCATACTGAACCTAGATACCAGGACCCCCATCTCCATCACATGGACCAAATACCTTCTCATCAGACCAATTAGAGTCCGAAGTATGCAATGGCTAAATAGCACATGCAGCCCTTCCAGTCAACCAATGGCTACACGTGAGAAGAAAACACTCTGATCCTAATAGCTCAGAATGCTGCTCAATGTGCCACAACGACTCACCCGAAGACATCCCCCGTTGCCTCCTCTTATGCCCAGAAGCAACCTGGATATGGAAGAAGGTCCGTGAGCTATGGTCGATCCTGTTCGCTTCGCCCACCCCCCCCCAACATCCCCGCTATCTCTATCCTATTACTCACTGACATCCCCAGCAACATCACAGGCAGCAGGGAAGTATGGTTAGGAAGCTGGCTTTGTGGGTGATATGGAAACGCAGGTGCACTCAGACAATCGAGGGAACAGAGGTGGCAAGGGAAGAAATGTGGTCACTACTGTTTAGTATGGCAGAGACGGAAATCAGGAGCAGACGGCGGAGAATAGTGAAGTCCACTAGGCACAGACCAGAAGGACAAGCAACCAAGAAACGTGCTTTCATAAGGAACTGGTTGCTAAAGGGCAAGGTGGCAACGATAGGTGACAACAGACTGAGATGGAAGAAATGGCACCCGACACAATCATGAAGACTACAAGGGTACCTTTCAGGTGACCTGGTTGAAGGCTATGTATGGTGATCAATAAAAGGAGGACCGGAAACACAGGGAAGGACAAGGATAAACAACAGAACACAGAGCGGACCCCCCCACTGTTCTCATAATACAGGGACTCATTCGACAGGCCCTAAGTAGAAGCCTGAGAGGAACAGATGGTCAGGGCAAGCTGACAGTCAATCCTCCTTAGAATGGAGTAATCAATGATGGTCAGGGGTCCTTCGGCCAGACGGAAGGAAGCGTTGAGTGAGTAATATGTTGTAACCATTTTTCAACTTGCCAGGGGAATAGGAACCGGACTGATGCTCCCCAGAATGGATATGGAGCCAGGACCATAAGGACCTGTTTGGAAAAAAACAAAAAAAAAAATCAAAACAATTTATGAGTGTGAGAATGCCCTTCCGTGAAACAATTCGGTAGGAAAACCACGCTTGTTTTCTTTTTCAATTCTGACCATTCCTCGACTACCGTCTTCACCCGAATAGAACACCCGGTCATTATAGCTGTATTTGGCACAACTTTCGGCCCAGATGCAGCGATAATGACCGGGTGTTCTAATCGGGTGAAGACGGTAGCCCCTGCCATCCTTGCGCAGGGGCGATGGTACTCTTCTTTGGGAATACTGACACTGGGACTTTTTCCGTAAAGCTATGGACGTTGCAGTAAGCCGCGTTCAGCAGCGGCCTGGGCGCTGTAACCCAAGCCCAGGCCCAGCAAGCAGTGCGACCACGCGCTGCTCGGCCTCAGGCCGCTGCGGGTGCTGTGTGACCACACACAGCAGGAAATTCAAAGGTCAAAGTCAACTGTCGGTCCAGGTTACCTCGCCCAGGCCCTTGGTCGTGTGCATTGACTTGTATGTGTGCAGGTACCCAGTCAGAACGGTGGACCAAGGAGGCTACAGTTTCAACTCAATCCAGGCCGTCGACGACAATTGATCTCGGTCGTGTCTAACTTGAGGGCTGGGGTCCACACCCTGCCATCAACACTACATATTGAGTTGACTTCCTGGCTTTGACATCTGGACTCTCGTCTGGAGTCTATGCTGACTCGACGTTCTTGCGTCAACGCCGGCTCTCTGCTGTCTTGCTGGCGAGACGCTGCTGGGAGGACTTGACAACCGGCGCTCATCGCTGGTTCGTGGCTTGAGCGTGCTGTGCGTCCAGCATGCTGGCTGGCGGACTACTGTCTTAAGGGTTGTTGACGTGGCAGATGCCACGTGTCAACTTCGTGGCTGCTGTCACGTAGGACCGCTGCTGAGGTGGAAGGCGCTAGGCGCCTGTATTGCTGTTCTGCTTGACAAGTACTCGGAAGGAGGATTCAGGACTGTGGTTGGGGTCGTGATACGTACCTRGTGTCTTCAACTTCGTCRTCACGCTGCTGATTAATGACTGGTCTGCTTGTGCYACGTGGCACTCTTGGTCTACATTGTCTGGGACGTMTGGATCTCTGATTGAGGCACGATTATGCTACTAGGAGGAGGAAGTGCCCGAAGAGGAAGTGGGCTGTAGGGAGGAGACTCTTCCACCCTCTCAAAGTCTATGCTCCCTCCTCCCTCTCTCGTCTGTGTATGTAATCTCCCTCATTTTGGGATCATTATTATCACGATTTATCAGCAGCGTTCGTTTTACGGTGCCCTGACCCGTGGACCAATGCACCCCATGCAATTCATTTCGCTCTACAGAAGGAAAAGAAAAAGAAAGGAGTCAATTAGGAAGTGAGAGCTTAGACATCACACATTGCTACAAGACTTTGGTGCAGGCATCTGACCGCAATTGCAGTCAGATTCCGTGTGGGGATGGCTAGGAAGTGAGAGCTTAGACATCACACATAGCTACAAGACTTTGGTGCAGGCATCTGACCGCAATTGCAGTCAGATTCCGTGTGGGGATGGCTCTCTGAGCAGCAAGAGTCACGGGTACCATTTTACCCGCCAACGATCCCCTCTTTTTTTTTTTCAAATGGCCTGATAGACGATGGATCAGATACTAAACTGATGAGAACCGTAACTCCACTTGATCTATTCTTAGCAAAGAGGCCGAAAAGGGCCTAGCTCAGTTGGTGGTACACCCATGACTGAGGATACAGACCCTAGTTTGAATCCAGATGTAACCAGATGAACAGAATAAGATACTTCTAAATTGCTTGGGGCAGGTCAGTCCAAAGTTGATATCTCAAAGCCGTCGCCTTTTCAAAAAGGAAAACTAAAAAAAAAGGGAGAACAAAAATACCAAGAAGAAGAAGAAGAAGAAGAAGAAGATCACAAACCTTGGCATTACAATTTCTGTTGACGTCATAACCATCGCTATCGCCCTGCGAAGGACGCACATCCACCGCTTGTGCTGCTGCCACGTGGACATCATCCTTCGGCGCATGTACTGCTGCCACGTGTCCCTCATCCCTTTTCGTTCCTCGACTTTCAACTAACGGCTCTGCACCACGCTCAGACCCATCAGCTTGGACCTTCAGGCGGGCTCTTTTGCCGGCTGGCTGAGCTCCCACTACGGGACGCACAGCTGCTGCTGTCGACAATGCAGTCTTCTTCACCGTCCGATCAATGACACTCTTCTTCTTCCTCTCCTCCCTCACATCAGCGCCACCGTCGATCTTGGCCGATCCTTCAGCTTGCTTGGCTTTTCCATCAGCATTTTTGGCAGAGGGAATGTATTTGTTTCGAGAGCCGCCTAGCTTTCCAGAAGCCTCAGGACGTTTCCTCCTCACCACCCTCTCCCCAGCCACCTCCTCTTTTGCCACCACCTCCTCCTCCTCCTCCTCCTCCTCCTCCTCCTCCTCCTGGCAATCGCCATCATAATCATCACGTTTGCCTGCAACTGTGCAATCCTCAACAGCACCACCTTTGCTACACTGTGCTGGTAAAGCACGCCGATCACTGCACGCCGAGCATCCCTGATCATCTGCAACCCCCACCAGTTCCGAATACCCCCCCCGAAGCGAGACTCTGTGGTGAGAAGAAGACGAAGGTACACTGCGCGCCGAGCATCGGATGCTGTCCCCCCCAGGCGCATTTCCAACGGCCGCCGGTCGGGACTCCTCAGCAGCTGCAGCAGCAGCAGCCTCACCCGTCTTGTTCCGTCGACTGGGTCTTGGGCTTCCTTGTTCCAATTTCACATCCACCTTTGTGACATCAGGACGACAATCCCGACCTACAACTACAGCAGCAGATCCAAATCCCCATCCAGATTGACTGTCATCCCCACAATCCCGACCACCATCGTCAGCGCGATCCCCATTGGTTCCATCGCCACGGAGAGCTGTTGTCCTCCACATCTTCCTATCAATTTCTTGTGCAAAGTAATCCGATCCTTTTGATTCCACACTTCCCCACGCAAGAGCTCTCTCCTCCATCCCACCACCTCCCTTTTTACCCCGCTCTGGTAGTAACCGCAAAGCTGCCGACTGACTGCTGCTGATGCCATCAGCATCATCGCTCTGGCGTACAGCTCCTCCCCCCCTGCCGGCCCCGCCTCCTCTTCCTCCACTTCCCCTCCCTCTTCTTCCTCTTCCTCTTCCTCCTCCTCCTCCTCCTCCTCCTCCTCTTCCTCCTCCTCTTCCTCCCGCTGTTGCTGTTGATACGGCTGCTGGTACTGCTGCTGCTGCTGCTGCTGCATTCCTGCCTGCTTCTCCTCCTGTGTCCCCCTCCCCTCCACCGCCTCCTCCTAAATCTCCCGGTTTTGAACCCACAATGTCGAGTCTCGCCCCCGTCTTTCTAAGGGCCGATGTCGCCGTCGCTGCTGCTGCTGCTGTATGTTCGTATGCTGACTCAACAGCCACACTTGCTCCGGCGACTGCTGCTATCATGTCAGTGGGAGGAGTGTCCTCACCACTGTTATTAGCGGAGCGGAAGAACCTTCTCTCGCTTGCCGTCCGATCCAACGTCTGAGCATGCCAACGCGAGACAACTGGCAATTAACAAACAGGAATAAGCACACGGAGCGTGGGCCTAAAGATCCGTTTCACACTTTGCACAAAAGTTTGGTCCTGTTGGGCAAAAGCAAAACAGAACACCATGCGTTTCACATGTTTGGAAGGCCAGGGGGTTGGTGTCAAATCAGGTTGGGCAAATTTCGACTTGCTGGGCTGTAAGAGATGGAGATGATTTCCTCAGAGTAGACGCTTCAGATGTTATAATGATAAATAAAAGAAGGGGTAACTTCAGCGCAGTCACCAAAACAGTTTGTAATTGCATTCGAAACTGTGTTTTAGCAGTTTCGTCAGGGCCCGAGTTTCAATTGCAGTTGACACTCGGCCTGAGTTTCAATTGCAGTTGAAACTCGGCCCTATGCAGTTCAGTCAGGGCCCTCGTCTATCCACGAACAGCAGATAAACAAAAAAAAAAAAAAACATCCCTTATGCTGTGATTGCGGTCAGATACAGGATGCTACAGTACTTGTCTAGAACTCAATGAAGCGTGGAATCCACCCTGCCTGGCTGGCAGGGCACTACAGGGACCTCACAACAAGAAACAAAAAAGGAAATCGACCTGTTTCATGTTCCTCACTTCCTGGCCAGATACATTCCTCAAAGCACCGGTGACCTGAGGGCCTTCCCGACGCAGGTGGATTCCAAGTTCCTCGTTTCTTTACTTTTTTGGATTCCAAGTTCCTCGTTTCTTTACTTTTTTTTTTTCTTTTTTTTTTTTTTGGCCTCCATCACTGCCCCGAGGCCCCCACTTCTTCTGAGTAGGCTACCCTTGAGACTTCGCGTTTGCCTGTGAAGGGTAGTGCCTGTGAATCTCGGCTGTGGCATCTCGGCCGTGGCCAATCTGGGGTGTGGCCGAGACATCTCGGCCGTGGCCAGTCCGGGGTGTGGCCGAGACATCTCGGCCGTGGCCAGTCTCAGGTGTGGCCGAGACGTGGCCCAACCATGGGGCTGTTTTTTTTTTGTTTTTTTTTTTTCCCTTCTAGCTGCGGAGAGGCCTGGCGCAGCGCAGGCGACCAAAAAAAAAAAAAAAAAAAGAAAGGAAAAAAAAAAAAAAAGAAAAGAAAAGAAACGAAAAAGAAAGAAACGGACCGCGGCACGCAACGGAAAAAAAAGACAGGCCCTTCGGGACATCCGTTAAAATTGGAACGATACAGAGAAGATTAGCATGGCACCTGCACTTTCAAGGATGGCACGCATAAATTGAGAAATGGTCCAAAATTTAAAAAAAAAAGAAAAAAGAAAAAAAAGACAGAAAAAAAAAGGATTACAAAAAAAAGGGAGAAAAAAAAAAAAAGACACAGGAAAGAAAGAAACGGCCATGTGCCTGACTGAACTGCTAGAAAAAGCGAGCCCGAGTTTCAAATGCAAATACAAACTAGGGCCCTGACTAAACTGCAATTGAAACTGGGGCCCTGACTAAACTGCAATTGAAACTCGGGCCCTGACTAAACTGATAAAACGCAGTTTCGAATGCAATTACAAACTGTAACCCTGACTGCACCGTAGTTTTCTCATAAAAGAATGCACTGAGTTCTTCCCCCCTCCCCCCCCCAAAAAAAAAAGATGCGTTCCCCATTTTGCCTTTTCTTGTTTTTCGATCCATCCATTCACAGGGGAGGGAAAAAAAAAAAAAAAAAAAACCAGGAGATGCATTCTTTTGACGCACTACTGAGCAAAACAGGAACAGAAGAAGTGACAAAAAACAGCAAAAAGAAAGAGTGTCGAAATTAAAAAAAACTCAATCGAGATCCCTTTCACATTCGCCAAACGTCTTCACCCGAATAGAACGCCCGCTCATTGTAACTGCATTTGGCGCCACTTTCAAGCCGGATGCAACGATAATGACCGGGCGTTCTATTCGAGTAAAGACTAATACACTTAAACCCATCACCTGAGGGCTATACCTGAGGGGATTTCTGGGCATTTCTGTTCACATTTGGGGGCTCACCGCACCACTCACCAAACGCCACTATTTTGAATGTATCTGGACAACAACCGTGGGCCCAATGCATTCCAAATGCTGGCCTTTTGGCGAGTCGTGCGGCGAGCCCCTTAGTGCATTTTGTTAAAGAGTAAGTATGCACTTTCACGTGGCATAGCTCTGAGCGCTGGCTTGCCCTGACGAGATTCTTTCAAAAGCTGTTTCCTCGATTTGAGCCCGCTGATCGATACACCGCCGCATAGGTACACCACTTGCCAAATCTACAAAAACCGGGGTGCATCAAACTGGAACAGTACCACCAATGTGCACATTTTTCGTGGAACAGCTTTTTTTTTTCTTTTTTTTTTACACCCACCACAAGACAATAGATCCTCCAATTTTCACATTGGTGGAACAACACACCTGAGAATTTTCACATTTGGCAAGCGGTGCATCTATATATAGGGCCCATAGTCCAATTTTTAAACCTGTCGACAAAATCAAGAAAACAAACCACCATCTATCCAAAACGATCCGTTTGAAAAAAAAAAAAAAAAAAAAAAAAAAAAAAAAGGGCGATCCATACTTGTTCACTCCGCTACTGCGATTGAAACACGTTCGATGAACTTTCGAGGAAGATTCGCCACGAGAACCTTCACTGGTATTAGCACAATTCAATTCCTATTTGGGCAATCCACGTCCTATTTGGGCAACTGGCTACTTCCTATTTGGGATCCGCTACTTGCTATTTCCTATTGGGCAATTCAATTCCTACTTCGGCGCATAATTTCAGCGCGGTTGACCCAAAGGAAAGCAGACCATACAGCCACACCGTTCATCCACTCACGCCCTCACTTGATGGTGGGGAGGGGAAGAGGTGGGACAAACCCCATTAGCGTTCATCGATTCAAAGCGGAAGTGAACAGAAAATGCATCCACAGTATGATTGCACCCCAGTACGTCACAAGCTTGGAGGGTATGGTGGGACGTCTGCGCATGTGTGTTTGTTATAAGAGAAAGACGAAGAGAGACTGGAGCACAGAGAGGGAGAGAGAGACAGGGAGAGAAAGACAGAGAGAGAGAGAGCGACGCCTCACACGAAGCCCAGTTTTCATTTCCAAGCCCATATTGCATGTGCACCCAATTTATCACTAGCTTGGGCGTCGGGGGCGAAGGAGGGAGAGTGCCAAGGAAGCGACCGAGCCCCTCTTTGTGCGTGTCTACTTGTGCAAAAGAGATAGATAGAGAGAGAGAGAGAGAGAGAGAGAGAGAGAGAGAGAGAGAGAGAGACAGAAAAAGAACAGGAGAGAGAAAGGGAGAGAGAGAGACAGAGAGAGATATCTTACCTGAAGCGCAGTCTTAATTTTTAAGGCCATATCGGTTACCAGCGCCAAAACCTCCGAGGAGGCGGTGGAAGTTCCTTCTTGAATCGCCCTGGTACCGTCCCCCCTGTCCTCTCCTGCTCCCATCGTCTCTCCCAGGCGCAACTGCATCCCCCTCTTCTCCTTCTCCCCCTCATCGTTGTCCTCGCAATCAGAACGTGAACCATCCTTCCTCTTCGAAGCAGATGGCGACTGAGCCGATGATTGCAAGAAACCGTCCCGAGAAGACAATGCCTCTCCATCAGCTGCAAGCATCGAATCGCCCCGCTCGGGTAACAGACGCTCAGCCGCCGCCGCCACCCGCTCTTTCGACCGTTGGCTGTGCAGGCCATAGTCCTCCAACCAGTTGTCAGCCGTCGGATTATCGCTGGCTGTTGTACTTCGATTGCGCAGACAGGCATTAGGAGGGCAGTTGGTCAAAGTCATAGAAGCGCGCAGGCGTTTGACTTCGCCTCGAGAAGAAGAAGAAGCCCCGCCAAGCGCGAAATCATCCCTCTCCGCGGCGACGCCGCCAAGCAGAAGCTCGCTGGCCTCTCCACCAGCGCCACGTGGCACGAGTGCCGGCGGCAACGAAAATTCAGGTGAGCGTTCAGGTCTGTGAGATGACGTCGCCACTGAGCCACCGAGTCGCCCATCCACCTCTCCGGTATCCATTCCCGATCTCGACGGATCGTCAAAATGGCGGGAATCAGAACTGGCGGGAAAAAGCACATCGTCACCACCACCGAGAGGACGAGGAAAACTACTGCGCGCGGAAGTACCACAAAGCAAGGAACCCTCAGGACCAGCGACCGACATCAAATTTGCATGTACTGCGTCGTCGCTGCTACCTTCTCCTAGGTTCCTTCTGCTCTCTGCACAGTCGTAAGGTGCAGGTGCACCGGTCCCGACAGCGCCGCCTCCCCTCTGCATTTCAACAGATGTAGCGCAGACGACTGAGTGCTCCTCAACACAGCCACCTCTCTCCCCCCCGCTCCCATTGTCAATCAATCGAGACAAGGTATTGGTAAAGCTGCCGGCGAAGACCGCGTCGCCTTGAGGACGGCAAGTATGGACTTCCAGAGCAGAGCCAAAGAGCAGCTCCTGGTGTGCAGCGACCGGTCGTGGACAGCCTGAGCAGTGACCATCACCCTCGTCTCTCCTTGCTGGGAAGCGCAGGCCTTCTTCAGCCGCTCCCTTAACTTCCAAGTCGTTGACAACACTCTCCTCGCACGCAGCTCCCTTAACTTCCAAGTCGTTGACAACACTCTCCTCGCACGCATACCCGACGCGGTGCCTCCTTTCCCCCCCCTCCGCGAAAGACGGCCCTGAGGTCGTACTAACTTCCGCAGAACGAGACAGAAAAGGAGCTGCGGCACTGTCCCCGTTCTCTTCTTCCCGCCCAGCCGCGTCAGAGAAGCGATCGCCATCCCCGACTTCTTGCTGGGTGCCGCGGGCTCCCCTTGCCTGCGACGAAGACGCGAAGGCGACAACTGCGGCCGACGCCACAAGACGAGAAGGAGCAAGACTGACGTTCCTAGCGCCGCCGCCTTCTGCCCTATCAATGCCTTCGTCCGATCGCCCAGCTCCTCCCTCTTTATCATCACCACGCTCAAGCGATCGATGTCCACCACTCTTTATCATGCCGATATCAGCCGTCTTGGTCAGTAGTTCATCCGACATGGCGGCGGCCATGTCATCCTCTCCGCCCAGCGACGGCCGCAGTCTAGACCGTGACAGTTGTACATCTGCCCTGGTCGCTAAGCCATCCGCCATCGCGAACCCAGACGGCTTAACCATGTCATCATTCCCTTCGGCTGTAGCTGATGGGTCACGTGGCCGCCGCTCCGCTTCAAGTTGATGCCCCACATCCGCAATCGCATCGACGTCTGCACTCGGCCTGATGCTCCTCGTCGACCGAGACGACAGCGAGTCCATCGATTGCCTCTCGTCTTCGGTCCAAAACTCCCCTTCTTCCTCCTCACTCCCAATGTCGGCGCCATGCCCCCCCCCCCCTCCTCCTTCGAGATCTTTTTCCTCCTCTTTCCTCCACCGTCGGGAATCCGCCGCCGCACAACGTATGAGCTCTAGCTCGGTCAAGTATCTCCTTCGCTCCTCTCTTAGCTTCGCAATCGTGGAGACCGTTGACTTTGCACCAGTCAACGCCTTCTTGGCAGCCACATACGACGGCGACCAACGTCCCCGCAGAACGCCTTCTTCCTCGACCGCCATCGCTCTCACCATAGCTGCGACTGATCACACTCCATCGCTGGGTCACGTCACGCCACAAAAACAAACCAAACCAGACCAAGTCAACCGCTTGACCGCTCCTGCATCCCCGAAGGTCCCGCCAAAGAAAACCACGTGAACAATTTCCTGCCCAGCACAGCCAGGCACAAACACAACCGAGGACACCAACAAAGCGAACACTTCACGGAGAAGGGAAGACGCAAATGCAAACGCAAACAATCAATTTCCCCAAGCCGCGAAACGAGGAAAGATAGCAAAGCGGGAGCGACATGCGCGCCATCTACGTCGACCCGTTGATTGGTACGGTAACACCAACACCGGTACCGTACTGGCGATAAATTTCTAAGTGTTCCTTGCAGTACGTAGTCGGTACGGGCATCGACTGGGAATCTTCAGAGGGTTCCTGACAGTGGTCGGCCCCGTCTTTCCTCGGACAGCCTAGGCGACAGGATATGTGTCATGGCAGAGCCTCCTTCGGACCAAGATTTCATGTGTCAGTTCACGCCGGGCGTCGAGAGCGAGCGCACTTCCGACTGCAACCGCGCTTAGCGCGGGGGCGCAGCCAGGGCGGAGGGGTTGTAGAGGGGACGAAGTTTTGAGTTCCAAGAACAACGGCCTGGAGGCCGAAGTGGCGAAGGGATAAGTCCTCTCAGAAAGCAGGCGAGATGCACTGGAGCCGCGCAGGGCGCGGGGCGCAGCCACGGTACCGGAGATTATGCGAGGCAGCTTAGAGGTGGACCCCACTGCTTTGTGGCAAATTTCCGCCTGGAAAGCTTCCAGAAAACCCAAATCGTAGGCCCCGGAGGTGGGAAAGAGAAAAGCAGACCCCACTGCAGCACAAATTTTCGGCAGTTCCGTTGGTGCCGGTTACCGGATAGGGAAGACTTTCCCTATATGGAAACTTCACGTCCGCTTGTCTCGGTTCTCACCCAATCCCTGGCTCTCCTTTCCACATGGGATGGCCAAACCGAGGGAGGTGCCCCCCCCCCCTACTCCCTCAGAATGGCCGAACAAAACTGAGTGAAAATGTCTGCCACGTCATATCTGAGCGTTTTCCAAACCTTTGCCGCAAAGCAGTGGGGTTTCACAAATCTTCTTCCAAAGCTTTGCCGCAAAGAAGTGGGGTCCACCTCTTATTTTACTGCACAACACATTATATCTATGTAGACGCTACGGTCATTATAGCTGTACGTAGACTGAAAGATGCCTCAAATACGTCTTTAATGACCGTACGTTGTATTGGGGGGAAGAAGGTAGCAATTTTTTCGGCCAAGGGGTCCAACAGTACGAGCTGCAGGGGCATATGGATAACTTGCACGGGGCCCGGTAGGGGTATATGCGAAAGATGACGGGTCCAATTGGCGAGTAGGGTATTTGACAGAGTTTCATGACTGTCGCAGGGACATTTCGTCATGCCCCTGCCTTTTAGGGGCATCTGACCAAATACCCCAATTGTTTTAATTATTTTAATTCTTTTTTTTTCTGAATTTTTTCCCTCATGATTATTTGTGATTTTGTATTCTAACGGACGGGGTTCTCTATCGTAAAATAATAATAATATAACAATAATATGAGAATATTTCATCAAAAGATTTAAAACAAGATATCAAAAATAATCTAACAATTTAAAAAATCATTAGAAGTAGTGATCATAAAAATGGTATGTTGGTAATCAGAAAAGTAGTCATTAAAAAATTAACTAAAAATATATATTCCTTAAAAAAAAAAAAAAGATCACTCCTCCCTGCTACATGTTCCCAACTCTAGTCCTCTACCTAGGTCCGCGTTCTGCACCCGCCCATTCCATAGACCTCGTTCAGAACGTGCACCAGGTCCAGAACCTTGACCAGGTTCAGAACGTTTTAAGCATCGGTCCTTTTCGTAGGGACCCGATGTCAGTGCGAATACCCTTACAAGGGTATCCGCCCTTGTTTTTGCAAATGACAGAAAATGAGTTTAGTTTAAAAATTTGAGTATACCGCGCGAGTCGTGGCGGTGTCTGTTGTTTACATTGACTAGATGGTTGACTAGAATAGAGAGTGTGTGGGCGCGCAGATTTGAGGCGCGCGTGATCCTTTTATTGTTGATGATTGAAGACTTGGCGTGACCGCCGGCCATAAATTTTATTTTGTTTTCCAACTAAGTTAGGATTAAAGAGATTATGTCCCGCTGATTGAAGTGTCTGCCTGTGACTTGTGCGTACGTGCGGAGGACGGCATCGACGACACTGTGAGTTCTGAAGGCGTTTCGGTAGCTTAACGCGTCGCGCAGTGCCCGTTAGACCCATACTCGGGCCTAACATTATTGGTTATGGCGTCGGACTTTCATCTAAGGCGTTCAGGGATCGAGATCGAGTGGCAATGGCGCGAGAGTATCGAAATGGCGAGGAGGAGCCGCGGGGTTGAGAGCGGGAAAGGCTATTCCCCCTTGGTTTTGCGGTCCGCGGGGTTGCGCAGTAGGACTAAGGGCGACACTAATATTTTTCCTTTCCCCCTTTTGCCGGGTGGCTCTAGTTTCGAATTTTGTGATTATTATTTCAATTTTATTATCATTTGTTTTTACTTCGAGTGCGGCGGGGCTGCGCGGGGGTGGACTGTATTCGAAGGAGACCCCGTAACAGCCACGCTCGCGCCCAAGCCTCAAATAAGGGAACAAGCTGGAGCCGCGCCGGCCAGCAGGTGCAATGCCTGCTACGGCAGGTGGGCGGTACCTCCCAGGGGTCAGCCGGTAGCATCAGGGCCGGGCTTTTCCGATGGGCCAGCCACTGTGTCTCCCCTCCAGTCTCCTCCCCCTATGGCCACCAGTGGGTGACACCAACAGGCGTCGGGCGTGGGTCCGGCCGGGCAACCGTCGGGCAGAGAAGGGGGCCGCGCCAGCCAGCAGGCGGGGTACCTGATATGGCAAGCGGGGGAGGGGGCCCGACTGCATACCTCTAGACAGCGGACCACGGGTCCGCTACTATCGGAAAGAAACGCTGGCCCGAGAAAGTAGGGGAGGCCGCCGCACTAAGGCGCTGGCGGACCGGTGTTGGAGTAGCGGAGAGGCAGACCGTGTCGGGCAGCGATGAGCAGCAGCAGGCGGACTAACAACGCAGTGAGCAGCGGCGGTAGAAAGAAGAGAGCTGGGGGCGGGGGATGAACCCGGGCGGGAGAAGGCACCGAGTGCATGCACGAAGGGTCAGCGGTGAAGAGAGCCAGAGCGACAACGGACGCAGTATCGGTAGGGGCAAGGCTGACGAAGTAGTAAAAACGAGAGAGGCAGGGATCGACGGGCGGACTGACCGGGAGCGACGTGCAGCAGTGGAGGGAGACTAGCGAAGAAATGGCAGAGGGGATGAACCCGGGCGCGTTTCCGCGCCGGGTTCATTTGGAAGGAACGACAATGGCAAGCGAGAGACTGGGCGCAGTCGGGAGTGAGTAACATCTCGGTTCTTAATGAAATCGAACTAGAAAAGAACTGAGATTGGAGTTTTAGGGGCGGATGAATCCGACTCTGAAGTCGGATGTGGTAAAAAGTCAGTAGGGAGGGAGAAGTAGTGAATTTCGTGCGCGGAGGAGACGAGATATGGCGGGAGAGAAAGGATGGGGAATGAAGACTCGAGATTTCACTCGATTCTTGATAGAATCGAGCGAAAGAAGGTGATAAGTAGGGGTTTTTAGATAAGGCGATTTCGATGATGGTGTTAGTTTGGAGAATGGATTAGTAGAATAGGAGTAAGTAGAAAATGGAGCTGCGTGGATATGGTGGGAACGAGGATGGAGGTGAATAGAAAAGCTCCGTTTCAGTCTCCTTTCAGTAGTAACAGGCGGTGGGTCCGGCTGGGCAGCGCTAGGCAGCAGTAGGCGGAGCAGTAGCGCTGTGGGCAATGGGTCGATAGGCGCGGCGGTAACTGTTACGGGCGAGATGGGCAGCAGAGCCAACAAGTGGAATGTACCTGGACGACATACTGGGCCTCGTGCATTCAGGAACAGAAATGGAGAGATGACGGAGCGAAAGGTCGGACGTATTGAGTGGAGAAATTAGTTTGAAATAGAGAGTTAGTAAGAAGGAGGTGAACGAACCTGGGCGGGGTTTCCCGCCAAAGTACACCCGACAAGGTGGTGAAGAGGAGATATAGAGGGAAGAATGAATGAGGGCGAGGAAATGCGTCAGGTACGTGCAGAGAGCTGTCGGGGATGACAGTGGTGAGAGAGACGGAAAGGGCACAGTGGAGAGTACCCGACTCGAGCGTGCCGTGATAAGATCAGTCGGGTAAGGATCGAGTTCCGGGTTTTCAAGGCAGACGACCTCGAATCCGATATCAGTTTATCAGAATGTTAAGTGAAATAAAGGCTAGTGGAGGGAAATGCCGTGCGGGAGATGGCAGAGGCGTGAACGGAAAAAGAAAAAGCTTACCTGGAGTTCGCCAGTGTCCAGGCTTGACTGCTCATCTCTCATTCCGAGTGTATGTGAGCGGGGTCGTGGCCATATGCGTGGGGGGGGATCAGTAGGAGAAGAGACAAAGATGAACGAAATTTGAAGAGCGGGGAGCTAAGTAGGGATCAAGCCACGTACCTGGTTAGAGGTGAGCAGAGCTGTAGGATATAAGATTGTGTCTACTTCCATATTCTGAGCGGAGAATTTCATCCCTCTATTAGCAGTGAGTAGCAAAGCAGGGTGTATGGTCATCACCGGAATCACCTTCGTCTAGGCAATATCGTGCCCATAATCGCACGTATCTATCTGGGAAATCGCAGTCATTCTGTCTCTCGTAGTGTTTTTTTTTTTCCCTAGCATAGACTGCGAGGGCTACCCCTCACCAGCCGGGTTTTCTTCTGTTCACAGACTGAAGGTGAATCTGGATGAACTAACGACTAGATGCGTTGCTATGTGGTAAAGAGAGAGAAAGAGAATTAGCAGACCGATGAGAAGGGGGATAGGTGAGATTGAGGAAGGGAGGAGCCGAGCACTTACCTGCCCGGAGTTGGCTGCGGCGACAAGGCAGGAAGGCAAGCACCTTTCGTGATTTAAACAGAGGTCTGTACTGCACTCGGCTGACAGGCGTGCCGGTCAGGCAGC